ATCGTTCAAGTTCCGGATTTACTTCTCCTTGATGAAAATGCTTTTAAAAATGGTCGTAACTGATATTGTTAAGGATTTTATATTTAATTATTCAGTTATCAAATTAGTTATCATTCAGTTTTCAAATCTACAAAATTTAAGCACTATAATATATATTAACTGCCATTTTGCTTTTCTTTTTTTTTTTTGTTCAAATGTATTTCTTAATTTTCTACTCAATTTCGTTTACCAGTCTTAAAATTGGAGAAAACAATTGTGTATACCGGAGAATTATATATTTATGCCCCGCGTCCGACTAATGAGACGATTCCTTTTTACGAAAAAAAAAAGGAATTAGTGGTAATTTAAGTTGTTCAATATTGGCGTTTTGAGCCGTGGTGGTAGATAGATAGAGTGCTGACGTCCTAATGAGGTGACCCGGGTTCGAACCCCAGTGGTAGGTGGTCAATACGAATACCGCACCGATGACGGTGCTATCGTAAAATATCTTTAATGACCGACGGATCATGAGTTAGCGCCCCTTTCTGTCAAGCTAACCGCAGGAGATGTTTGTGGTTTTCCTTTCCATGTAACGCAATGACTGGTTAGTTCCATCGAAAATTCCTTCACGAAGGCAAATTTCTCCCAGTACTTGATCCAGGACTTCCCTTGTCTTCTGGATTAGGTTCGAATGAGAAGGTTACGGAACTGAGCATTAGAAGTTGGGTCGGCTGTTCAACCTATGGATATAAAATTAAAAATTATTAGAATTTCTTTTGTAGTTTTTTAAAAAAAGTTCCATTTACCATAATAACTAATAATATAAATATTTATATTTGGATCTGAAGTAAAATACCCTTCGAAGTCTAGGCAGGAAGTTTTTTCATGAAGACACTTGATTTAAAAATTTATTAAACATTTAATTTAATGAGCTTTCTTTAACCTTTTCGGAACGGGCAAATCATAAATGTAGTCGTATGGACTCAGGATAGTAAAAAATAAAAAGCGGTAGCTTAAGTTTTGGGCATACCTAATTTGACAGACTTACTTTTTCTTTCACTATAGATCTAACCTATATTAATATTTAAATCTATTTAAATCCAACCTATAACTCATTAATGATTAGAGGTCTAGTAGAGTTTTCATGCAGATATATTGGATCATACAAATCAAAAATGAATTAGCTGATCAAGCTTTGTTTCTTTTTGTTATTATTTTTAAGAATTTTTAAGTCCTTTGATAAACTTTAAATGAGAAAAAAAGTCAAACTCAGAATGAATAATCAAAGTTAAGTTACATAAAAATTACTGAAATTAACTAAATGCATAACTCATTAAATATTTTTTTAAATCAATTGATTTTTTAATTGATTAATCAATTGACTAAAAAGGTCGCATCAATAATTGGTAAGAAGTTTAAAGCACAATCATCTCAACAACCCACCGACGGTGTACGAGTGTTCCGGATAACCGAGATTTTGCTCTATTTCTACTTTTTCCAATGAACTTTTTGTAATATTCCTTCGATTCCTTATTATTTTCTTATTTAGCAATCGTTGCCATTGACAAATTAAATGTTTTCTTTCATTGTGCTATTCAAAGTCTCTTAAGTTGAAAAAAAAAAGTTTTGATATTGAAGTGATTCAGTCTTGATACTTTATGTCTTCAGGTTGTCAGTTTTATTTGGAAATTGTCACGAAACAGTCTTTTAAAAACCTGTCAAAGGGAAATGATCCCATACTGGAGCAAGGTCCCGAAATCCTTGCATAAAACATTTCAATTTAATCCAATTTGAACTCGAGAGATTTACTAAAGAGGGTCAGGGATTGCGTTCAACAGTAGACGTTACCTTCAGATAAAGCACCTAGAGTGACAACATCTCTTTTATCGACTGTTTTATGCAAAGGCTGTCGGTCAGGCGGAGAGATTTGATTTCCTGCCAGACCCCAATTTTGCTCCATACCCACCGCATAAACAAACCAGGTATTACGCTTTAACCTCATTTTGTTACCTGTGAGGGTCTTTGGCTATTTTCACCTAGCATGCTCCATATTATAGTGAATGAGTCGCGTGTTATCTCCACCCTTGAGTGTTGTCGTCTGTTCGTGATTCTGGTTTTAACAGACGGTTATGAGTAAGACTATATTTATAGACGCCATTGTTGAAAAATCTTTCGGGAATTTTTGGAATGCTTGTGATTTAGTTTTTGCAAACGATTAAGGGACGATAGATAGTAACACTCTATATTAAATTCTAGGATCCAAATGGGGGTACGCAAATTATAAATTGAAAATATTTAATGAAAATCCTTTACTGCTGCTGTAAATGACTTGTAGTAGATTGTTGTTTATACACACGCTATGGTTAAATTTAGTTCCCAGGAAATGTTGTCTCATTTAAGAATAAAAAAGGTAAAGGGTTATTTAATTCTTACTTTCTCTAGTTATTTTCTCATATCTTATGGGATAAAAAAAATATGGTGACAGAAATATTTCAAGCACGAACTAGGTATTTTCATTATAAATATTTATCTTCAGAAGATATATGTGATGTTTTTTTTCTCTCCATAAACTGATTAAAAAAGAATGAAATTTCAAACGGCTTTTAACTTCCAGGAACATAAAAATGATTCCCGCTTAGAGGTTATTTTAATTAATTCAAATATTTGGCTTCGTCAAATTAATTCATTCAAGAAAATACTATTTCTTTCAAGGAACAACAAACATTCATTACCAGCCATGATTGGCGCGTTTATGGATAAACAAATAAAATCCGACACATTCTTCTGCTAATTAGCATATGATTGGATTATTGCCTTACAAGCAACCGTTGCCAACGCAACAAACTCCGAAACGTAATTCTGAATAAATATAAATCAGGTATCACATATAATTGTCTTCATCACTGATGCTTGTTATTCTGGTTGACTTGGCTGTCTGGATTAATCTCAATATCGCCATCATCTTTTCTGATAAAAGAAACGAGACTTAGACAGAACGCGCTGCACTATTCTAAGGAAATGAAATGCCAAGAATGTTTTACGGGTTCTATTCTTGGATAAAATTCTTGCTCACTAGCTCGGAACTGCAGTTGATGTGTTATTAAAATTTAATTTATGCATTAATTAATTACTAGAATCTTCGAATTAGTTTTACTGTAAATATGATAGGGTTTTATATTAAGTGCACTTTTTCAGATTTACTTCATCCTTAGTTCCAATATTTTTTTTACTATGTTGATAATTGTTTTTGAGCTCTCTCAATTATTTAGGATTTTCAGATGGAAAGAAAGAAAATACGATGGAAAGGGATATTAAGAAAGAAAAAAATTCTTTCAGAAGATTTTTTCTTGTCCTTTTTTTCATGATAAATTAAAAGTATAATGATCAGGCTTAAAGCTAGCCTTTGTTTCTGAATTTTCTTAAGCAAAATATAATACACATTTGGATGCTATAAGAATTTAGTCGACAGCACTAACCATTTATAATTACTAGTATTTAAATTGTCCAGAACGAGTAATTAATTCTAATATTATTTTGTTCGAAAATTTATAAATATTTGATTTTATTACATAGTAGGTAGGGAAATATTTGATTGGTGAAACCCTTTATTTCAGTACCCCACGAGAAAGTAAAGAGAACTTTCTGCGCAACACAGAAATTCGAATTTTGAAAACTTGTTTAATTAATTTCTTTAATTGCAAATGCGTTGTTAATATTTTTTGTACATATTTCGAATTTTGAAGAATATACAATAATGCGTTTTTATGTGTGTTTTGCCTCCTTACTGTGATCTGAACAAATAAGATTTGCATTTCTTTTAACATATATTCAATTGAAAAGAGTTTTTTTTCCCCACCTTAATATACGAGGGCCCATTAAAATTGGTATTCACTTTTTTTAACTCTCTTTTCTTACGTTTTCAACTTTTGTTATATAAGGGGTGTTTAGGTCTAGTAAAATAAAGCGCTTGCAGCGCCACACAGTGTAAAATACGGAGTTATTGCTCCTATTTAGAAAACGATTCCAAGTAAGGAACTAGTAACCAGTCGTACTAAATTAGTTGTACTGTACCTATGATGACTTATAACTTTGGCAGATAACTTCTGCCTATCTTGTACCATTTTCGAGATTAGAAATCTAACTCCGAAATTTTGTACTAGGTGGTGAGGAAAGTGTTTTTTTAATGTAGAACATGGATATTTTAGTGTACCTAAACATCACTTTAATAGCTAAAGCCGCTAAAAATTTAAGAAGGACGGATTTCAGCGTGGCAGCCAGTATCTAACTGACATTTATCAATGTTTAGTAATACATTAATGTTAAGTTGTAAGATATTTCAAAATTTTTATGAAAACATTCCTTCCAATAACTACGGAATTTCCGCAGTTTCCGAAAATATATTTCCTTGTGGCAACCAGGGTATTGCATTAATATTTTATTAGAATTTTGCCGACAACTACTACGCTTTTAGCAAAATATTTCATAGAGTGACAGACATTTAAAAACCAAAGCTTTCAGAATTTTTCGCAATTTTGCGAACATTTTAAAAGCCTCACCGCTACAGAGCTGGAACAAAGTGGCGTTGCATGTGAACTTTTAAATCATTTACGTGTAGTGGTGTGGAAAATAAGTTCAAATGAATAAAAAATAATACATTAAAATATAAACTTAGATATTATAATATATTTTTACAAAAAGCATAGAAAGCTGGTAACCCTGCATGTAAATACTAATACAAAGAGATAGATAAAAGGTCAGCGAGTCAAATGATCATCTTCTTAGATTATGATAAAAGTTTTATGAATAATTCTATTTGTTTAAAAAAAAAAACTTCTGCTTTAGTTCAGTTGAATATTGAAAAATATTTCGTTAGGACCTCGAACGTTGGATAATATATATGAAATGTATTTTTATGTTAATTATTAGTAATATGTTAATTAATATTGTGTTATAGTTATGTTAGTTATAAGTATGATTATTTAATTGGTTTGTGATCTAATTATCTTTCTTTTTCTTTGTAGCTGTGACCGTTCGTTTCCTGACTCAGAGGTTTATAGGGGAGTACAGTTCACAAAAAGGTTAGATTTCAAACTCATAAATTTTTCTTTCTTTTGGTTTTGACACTAATTAATCCATCTAAATATACATACATGGTGATTGAAACAAATTTTAACACGCAACAACTCATATGCGATGACATATTGCTTTTATTCGTTTCCGAAATATATAAGGTTTTACGAAGAGAAACTAATAACAACACAATACAAAAAAACCATCATTATAAATTAATGAACCACCAATGAAACTCGATTAACCTTAATTTATATAAAAAAAAATAGTTTAAAATCTCAGCAAATGTCAATAAAAGAATGGGTGCTGTTATTAGTTCTTTAAAATGAAGAAAAGTTCAATAGAATGAGTGAAGTTAAGCAGAAAGATAAAGGTAATTAATTGAAAATCAATAATTGTAAATTAAACGGAAAAGATAAAGTTAATTAAAAGTTATGTTAATTGAAAAATTAAAGCTGCTGCTATATGGAGCTTTACATAAAGAACAAAACTTTTTCTTTACATAAAGAAAAAGTTGTAAATTTTTATGTAAATTAAGTAAACATTTGCTAGTGTTTATTATATATATGTCGCTTATGTTTTGCTTTACAATTTTTGCTTTTAAAATTTTAAAAAAACACTATAAGGATAGAATTTGAGCCTTTGCATTAAAATTACTTTTTAATTTAGTTATTATGAAAGTGATGTGATGCATGAAAAAAAAAGATTAATTCTGAATTGGAGTTAGCGGTTTCAATAGTAAATAGTGAAAAAAAATGGTGTATTTAAAATGATTTTTCTTTTAATTTCAGATTTATATTTTTCTTTCTTTCACTTTTAGATTTATACTTTTCTTTCTTTCAATTTTAGATTCATATTTTTCTTTCTTTTAATTTTTAATTTATATTTTTTTCTTTTAATTTTAGATTTACTTTATTGTTCCCAGACCCTAGTCACAGGATCTCCAATTGATGTCGAAGTACTAGACACCACTAAAGACCAAGTTAGTAATCAAGATTTTAACTAGTTAAATCTAATTTATAACGAGTTTTTTTCGATCATTGGGTCTATGGATCTAAGACAACTACTATAACATCAAGGAAAAGGATACAAACCTCGATCATTTAATTTAATGCATTTATGGCTAACGCCATCTGTTATTTTGTAAATATTTTGCACAAAGAATTGCCTCTAAACGGTTAAGTAGTATCTTAAAAAATTAAAAGCCCTTCTAGATTCAACGTAATTTTACATTATGATCAAACCAGTAGGAGCCCTTTTTAGAGGCTTTATACATATCCAAATTCTTATTAAAAAAACTGTATCCGCTATATAAATTAAAATCAGAAAAAAATTCGACGAACTAAGTCAAAAATGTCAAAGGGGGGGGGGCGGTTTAGTTATTATTGCATATTTAGGATTTTTTTTCATATTATCCGTGCATGAGTTATGATAAATTATTGACATCTTATTCACAATTATTATTACACAATAATTTTTTATGGTTTGCCCCTACATACGCACACGTAAGAAGACATTAATTAAAAATGATTGCATAAGCTTTTCTGTTGTTTTAATCATTCATAAATGTGCATTCATAAATGTTCATTTATGTGCTTAAAAATAAATTAATGCGAAAAACATAAAATATTCTAAGACGTCATTCTGCAAAGTTAATAAAATTGAACCAAATAACGAGATTTAAAGCCACTTAAAATGTCTGTACGAACTTAGTAGTCGTTAATGGGATTGTCTATTCTAAAAATGAACCAGTTGTAAAACAGTCAAATCTTCAAAGAAGTCTTCACCAGAAGTACATAAAACAGAACTGAATTACGGGACAAACAGTATTTTTAGCTTCTCAAAAGAAACAGTTAAGTAAATTGTGCGTGAAATATATTTGCCCAACCCTTAATGGAACACATAATTTGTCTGTAACACCATCGACCCAATTAGGCGTACTCTTCCCTTCGTGAAACAGCGTTTAAAGAGGGCGTAGACAATAAGGTTTTTACGAACTCGTCCATCATAACTCGTTGGGAAGAAATAAGGACAAAAACTTGCCGGATCGTCTCGATATTTCGGATCGTAAAAGAAGGAGTTTTCTGAAGAATTTTAAACGAAATTTTTGGCAAATATCATTCAGCAAAGAACAAAAGTGAAACGAAACGGCGTGAGGTACTGGCTGCTGTCCAAAAGTCGCGAGTTGGATCGAAACGTGTCCAATCGCTGTGATCTCTGTCATTTATTTTACTCCGCCATGCTTCTTTTTTGGATTTATTCCAGTTGGTGAGAGCTAACCTGGGCATTCTGCGGTTAATGTACGTTTTGTATCGTGGTTACGTTCTTACCTCCTGCCTGTGAGAGGATTGAATATCAGTTTCTTTAACATGCTTTTGAATGGGAATAGGCATTAAGCTTACGTTGCGTCTTCCTATCGGAAAGAAACTTGTCGTTAGGTTTGAAGAATATAAATAATCCTTTCAGTGAAATTTTTTAAGATGTCGTAATATATTGCAATATCAAATGTTTATTTAATCCGCCATATTTGCACCTAAGCCAGGGTCGCAGCTTTGTATCTTACGAAGAGCAATAAATTAATTTTTGAAGGAAATAAGCATTTAATTTACGTTTTTAATGCTGTTGGATATTTTTGAATATCGTCGACAAAGATTCAAAAAATATTTCGTTCGTCATAGAGAAGAGTAAAAAATGAACTGCTGACCCATCAACTGAAATTGATTGCTTCGTGTGTTTCAATGCAACCTACGCTTCCTGCGATAAACCTTTTCCCTTATAAGACTACCCACGGCAAGAAAAACATATTTTGTTTAGCAAAACAGCAAAGCAAAAGAGAAAATAAAATCGCAACTAATAATTTTTAGTTTGTAGCATTTGAACTTTCCACGCCTTTTTACTTTAAGGATTTACATAAAAAGAAATAGGAAGGGTTTCCCTTTTGTCTAAATTCCTAAATATTTAGCATTTATCTGTAGATATAAATCATAGTTTATTACGTATATGTACGTAAAGTTACATGAATCGAGTTAGGTATTATCGAGTGCGTATTACCATCGAAATATGAAAGCCTAAAAGTTTAGGGAGAATTTTATCATTGCTATAAATAGTACCAGAATTTCCCAGGACTATTTAAAGTAATAATGTCTTATAAATTTAAAAATTTATTCTAATTTTCGAAAGAGATCGATAATCAATATTAGTAACTAGCGGTTTTAAAGGAATTTCCCATTTGTATACGCTACAACATGATAGAAGAATTAAAGGAAAATTTCTAATTATGTTTATGCCATGTCAAATATATAAAGATTTGCTCAGATTTGGAAATATTTTAAATTGTTTTTATCTTTATTTGAGGCATTATCTAATACCTCTTGCTTTATTTTTTTAGACGGACACTATTCCATTAGAAAAGCTAAATTGGAGCTCTGTGTATGTTGTTGTATACAGCATATCTAGTCGAAGTAGTTTCCTAGTAGCTGCAGACTGTGTTCGAAATTTACTCCCTAGAGGACTGCCTATTCTACTGTTGGCTAACAAGAATGATTTGGAACATATCAGAGAAGTTTCGACCGAAGAAGGTGAATCTTTAGCTAAAGAACTGGGCAGTGTGTCCTTTGCTGAAGTGTCAGCGGCCGAAGGATATGCTGAAGTAGCTGAAGCATTCCGCCCCATTCTTGCAAATCTTTACCCTTCAATACCAAAATCATCCAACTCTTCACCCACAAATACCTCGAGTCGAAGAAAGATATCAGTTGTGTCTGTCTCCAAAATTATCAGCGCCATGTTTGGACGTAGCGGATCCATGATGGCTGATCATAGTCACAAGAAAAGGCCTTCCTTATCTTTATGAGATTCGGCTTCTGGCGAGTCCTCGAAGGACAAGTAGTCGAGTAGTTATTGCACAAAACTCGGCAGATGAGTATTTAACTAAGTCAAACAAGATATCGTTTCCATGGATATGGAAATTTTAAGACACCTACGACATGGTCCACCATAATTTTGGTATTGGTAATCAAAAGGAATCAAATACATCTAGGACTACTTTTTTAATTGCACTCATAAGCACATTAATTTGTAATTAGGGTTGAATCTGTATTTTTAACAATTTGAGTTAAATCTTGAATAGTTTGAATAACCATTCAAAAATATAAATTTTGACCTTCATGCACTTTTCAAATTACCATAGTGTTATGGCGTTGTTTGTTAGTTGTAACTTAAGGTCATTAAAAATTAAAGGTATTGTAGAAATTAAAAAGAATAGTTATACTTTTAAATGAAGTTATAACCACAGTATTTTAATAATTCTGTTTCACTTTTCGTACTGATATATGGTGGCTTTGGGTGTCGAGATTTTAATTCATTGAAATCAGGCCACAAAAATAGTAAATACACGACAAGCACCTTAAAAAAATAATAAAAAAATAAAATGTTTGTCGTGACTTAAGTTCCATGACTGTCTCGTTAAAAAGTTTTTAAAACGTATAAAAAAGGGACAACATTGTTTCCTCATTAAAAAACACAACATTTATAAAATGCTCAATTTGTTTATTAAATGTTAAACCATGTGTTGGAGTGAATCGTATGAAAAGATTCCTAGATGTATTTCGAAATTATCAATAAATGCAGGGATGACAGCTGCTTCCCGCTCAGTAGTTTTTTTAAGTGGTAAAGAACTAAAAACTAAAACATATAGCGTTAGGGTCAATTATGTTAAATTTTTAAAAGACACATCACAAATTTGCTGTAACAATCAATGGAAGAATCTTACTTTAACAGTTAGCAATCCGAGTACTTCAAAATACTGTTAGCAAAAAAAGTAATGTAAGCTCTAAATAATTTATACTACATAATACAGTATTTTTTATATAGTTTTATACTTCTTGAAATAATGTGTAATGTGTACTAATTATTTTAGTATAAAAAGTTTTAATTTAAGAGAAGTAACTGTAGATGGCGCCTCAGAGGCGACATCGGAGTACAAAGGGTTAAAGTATAAATTTTGCTTTTTTTCGAGAAAAAATTAGCTAATAAAATGAAGCAAGTTGGCATCTCTGTGAATGTATAATTTATAGACAATCCCTTTTTATAATTTCCCTTATATTTGATACCTTTTTAGTACTTTTCTGTATTGAAATGTTTTTTTTTAAACTTTTGAATACATTCTATAATATCTGAAGTTTGAAGTAAAGTAATGTTTCTTAAAAAAGTAAAGTCTTAAGTAAAGTAATGCTAAATATCTGCAATTACTTTAGAGTGCTTACAAAAAATGCATAGTTTATATGAAGTATACATGCAGAGTTCCTTCTATGACAATATTGATGATAGACTTTAAATGTGTTTGCAAAAAGTAACTTGCACTGTCCTGGTAGTTCAAGTACAGCATTAAGCAAATTGGCTCGTTCGAGCGATTAAACATGAGAGCTAAAAAATCTGATTTAAATGTACAAAATAAACCAATCTAAAAATACACTTTTTTTAAATGTTTGTACATAAATATTCTATGAACCTGTGATCCTATAATTTTATTACCGATAATCTAAATGAAGTGCTTAAATGTTTTTACCCAGTGTTTTGATAAATGTTTACTAGGAATATAAAGTAATATTGTTATTTTTATAACAATCTAGACTTTTGTGATTGAAGTAATTGATGTTTAATTTTGTAATTGCCCGTCGTTAGGTTGTTAATTAAATAAAAAAGAAATATACTAAAAGTAAGAAAATATATGTACTTTCTCAAAAAAAAGTCCAAGTATAGATTTTTTTTTGTGCAACAGCAAGTGAAAAAAAAATTGGAAACTAGTCTTAATTAAATTTACTCAATGCAAAAATTGCTTAAAAGCTGTAATACTCTATTACCGAGAGGCAACTATTTAACCTACATGTTTACTGCAAGCATTAAACATTGCAAAATAATGTACTCGCATAATGTTGGTACTCACTGATTTCGAAATAGTTTGATTACACAAAATTGTGACAACTCTCAAGTTCAAGATAACCTTAAAAAAATTATGCATTGTAGACATATTTATAAATTATAGAAATTTCATCTCTTTATTTTACTGTTTGGTATCTCCTTCAAATGACTACGAAATGTACTTTGAGCAAAATAAAAAACGGACTACTCTGAATCTAATGATCGGTTCTTCACGTTCTAGGACTCAACATTTACATTCAATGGGGTGACCTCAAAAGTAATTAGATTAAATTCGCATGTACTACAAAAATTAAAATTGCTTACTTTTTCGGTTTTTACTAAATAAAATAATAAATATCTTATTTACTAAAATTTGTATTTCACATGGATTTTATAATTGTGGACAAAAATTTTTTAAATTCGCTTAAAAAGTTCCCCAGAATTGGTGAAATAAGCAAAAAATAAAGTTAACATCAATCTGACCAAAGTATTGGGGTCATATATCCCATATTGAAGCTACCCTTTATATTTCGGGGGTCAATTATTCCGAGTTTGTCTAAAAAAAAGTTTATTCAGAGATAGTATATTTTGAGGTCTGATTTTGTAGCTTAAAATGTTGTTTGCATTAATTAATTAGCATATTTGATGTCAGCTCCTGAAATTATTAAGATTGAGCCCTAGAATATGAAGATCCGATCATTAGGTTGGTCAGCGCACTGTACGTAGTATGTCAACATCTTGAGCTCAAAATAATTACTAAGAAATTTATGTATTGTAAACATATTTAAAAATTATGGAGCTTACCAGAATTTATTTTAGAAAATGTTATTTGGTATATTTTGGCAAGATTTCACAGAACTCTGAAACAATTATTGTATTGTATCTCAATATTCTAAGTTTAATATAAGGCTCAAAAAATTATGCACATCAAACTTGTTTATAAATTACTGAACTTTCGTACATTTATTGTAGTATTTTATATCTGTTAACTGTTTAGTGTAATAACATAAATTCTGAAGCATTCATTGTTAGACGGACGTACGTCAACTTTCTGCATTTTTAAACTTGAAATTTTTTTTTTATAGTTATCACGTTTTTATCGAAATTTGATGTATTTATTTTAATGCATGCTATTCGGTATTTTTTGTTTAACATAACTGTAACTGTCAATTGAAGATGAAAATATGTTAATATTTTTTTAATTTAGGTGAATAATCAAAATATTCTCGTATTGTAAACAATTTTGTCTAAATTATTGAACTTTCATGTTATTGGGCTGCTTTTATCAAATGAACTCTGTGATTTCTGTCATTGCATAGTTGTGAGTGATATCCTTGAACTGCAACATTGTGTACATAATTGTGAGTGAATTGATTCCCTGAGTGGAAGTTATGTCTTTCATTTGTTGCGCTCAAGGATCTTATTGTAAATATGTTAAATAAATGTTATAGAAATAAATATGAATTTTTATGAAATTTCAATTGAACTGTTTTTATCCACAAAAGTCTTACATTATTGACTCAAACAGGTTCGGAGGAAAATTTTGTTAATTAATCCATTTATGCAGACATTTTTATAATTTGGCCTTGCTGATTGAGCGTCAATTTAAAAGATATTCAATATCAATCTTCGGGACGGGCGATTCGTGGAAACATTCGTAACAGGAAGGAAAAAAAAATTCCTTCCTGATTCGTATTCGGAACAACGGTAGGAATTTAATTAAAATTCCCTTTGAACAGTGAATTGCTTAACATAATTTATTCTATTGTGAGTGAATATTTATATCTTATAGCTGCTGCTTAAAACTTCTTTCAAAGGAACCTTCAAAAAATATTGTATCCACATTAAAATTTTATTTGAAACATAGTAGGGTGGATATGAATGCTTAACCTTTTGGGGACGGGTGATTCAGAAAAGCATTCGTACAAAATCATAATCAGGATGTAATTAAATAAAAAATGGTAACTTAAATGTAGTCGTTTCTAATTTGAAAGACTTACTTTGCTTTTATTTTAATTATTGTTAGTTTCACACATATAATTAATGTTAATTCAAAGTATAACTAAATTGTTTTATTTTGAACAAAGTAATGGTGAATTAAATAAATCAAACAATTATAACTCCGTCCACAGATAAACTGCTAAAGAATTACTTTGATTACCAGTTGTATCTTTTTACCCTGATTGATACGGTTTTATGCTGGCACATATTTGTGACAGTTGGTGCGAAAGGGTTAACTGCCAACATTCGCACTTTTTTGAGAAATTTTTTTAGTGCTATTGAAGTAGTAATTACAAAGAACTTTTGTGGCTTCTCCAGAAGATTTAATTTCAATATTTAAAGTGTTAACTCACAGACCTGTCAACTACTACGCTTCTTGAAAAATATTTTATACAGTGGCAGACATATAAAAGCCAAAGATTTCAGAGTTTTTGGTAATTTTGCTAGCATTTTAGAAGCCTAACCACTTTAGAGCTGGGACAAAGTGGCGTTGCATATGAACTTTTAAATAATTGATGTGAAGTGGTGCGGAAAATAAGTAAACGAATAAAAAATATTACATTAAAAAAGCGTAGAAAGTTGGCAGCTCTGAACTCATGTCATTCCATTAAATTTTTTGAATTATAAATTACTCTGACTACCACTACCTATAAATAATTACAGCGAATATATAAAAGTTTTTTCGCCCTTATGACATACCTGCCAACTTTTAATCCCTTCATTTATCATTTTTCCCAGTGGTATTAAAAGGGAATTAAAACTTCAACTTTAGGCAAACAAATACGTTGTATTTGAGAAAACTTAAGTTGACAACCATGTTAGTAACGCATATTAATATATCTGCTTAATTTTTTTAAGAATAGTGGTGATTAAAATCTTTAAAAAATTAAGTTTATAAAAGAAAAAATAGTATATATTTACTACCACTTTAAATATGAAAATAAAATTTTCCGGAAAATCCGGAAGAGTTGGCAGGTATGCCTTATGATAGCGAAATTCAACGTCACCCCGTCAAAATATAAATATATTTATGAGTTGGATTGTATTTCGAAAATTGTTTTTCCACCACTTTGAAAACCCACTCACGTGTATATCATTTATAATGTGGGTATCTCAATCCGGTTTGGTTGTTGTAACGTGGCATTTGCTTACGTTACCAACTGTTCCTTCCATTCTATTTCGAGTTAGTCAAGCCGACCAAGTACCAATTCTCTTAAGAGACATAGCCTTTATTCTTTCACAAAGATTTGAATTCTACCACTGTATATTTACACAAAGACTCAACAAAAAGACAAGCACATGGCCATGTGGAGCATAAACAAACTTATTGTGCATCGAAGTTGACAAGTACACAAAACAAAAATGTATCGTGGTAACAATAAAATACATAAACAAATAATAAACCTAAGTAAAATAAAAGAAGTAGACTAGAAAGAATTATATTTCAACTAATTCGATAAAATTATACTTAATCATACTAAAAATTAGACAACAAATAAATTAAATAATAATAAATTATAATATTAATTATAGAACAAAGAGGGATTAGTTACGCTAAAATCAATCTGAAAATTAAAACAATTCCATGAGTTGGCTTATGTTAAAAGTAAAATTAAAGCTGTTTAAAAATTGAAGTGTCGTAATTAGTTATAAGGGATTCGTCTTGAAAATAAGTAAAGTGAAAGCAAAAACGACTAATTACTTAACATAACTTAACCATTATCTTATTTATTCTACTATTTTATACTCTTTGTTTTGATTGCCACCTTTCTGCATATGTGTTGTTGCTGCACGCCCCCATTGGCCAGCAGTGCTAGACCAGGTCCATGACGTTATACACCCTCAAAAAATCCAACACCCTCAATGGATCACCTACTAAATCCTGTTTGGTGAGCCCCAGGCACGCGAGGATGTGGCGAGGCAAAGCCTGGTCTGCAGAACAGTTGGTGCAAATTTCAAAGTTCTTGGATCCTTCCGAAAATTTCATTGATTTAAGGTGACCACTTTGAAAGCGGGCAAGAGTAGTTTGTTCCTGTCGATTAAAACCTTGGGCCAGGGAGCCCCCCTGGTCGAGAACACTGGTACCACGGGTCCTTTGGGGGGACATTCCAAGTGGTCTTGTTTTTGCGTTTTATTTTTGAGAAGATTTCCAAAAAGGTGTGGGGTGCCGATGGCACAGAGGCTATTGGACTTTGTTGAGAGCAAATCAGACTGAAAGTCACGTAGAACAAATTGAAAACTTAACTTTTATTTACATCAAAAAGAATATAAAAAACAAGAAGATGTTGCCAGCACAGGAAACTCAAATTATCTAACTAATCTCGAACTCAAACCTCAACATCCTCCCCACCCTGGTCGACCTGAGGGGGATGACTAGAGCTACCGGACGGGTTATATTGTGACCATTAACTTTCAGCTCACAGGATCTTATTTTTCCATCTCGTCCTTCATGCAAGTTCACCACTCTAGCTTTCTTCCACATGTGCCGTGGTCGGATATCTTCTTGTAGGAGTACAATATCGCCAATTCGGATGTTAATGATATTGTCCTGATTACGAACTTGATGAAATGACCGCAATTGAAGCAAATATTCCTTAAACCATTTTTTCCAAAAGCAGTCGAATAAGTCCTGTTGCTGCTTGTAGATCTTTCTTAGCTTTGTGTTATTATTTGGGCTGGATGGAATGGCTGTTAGTTTTCGTCCTGTCAAGAAATGGCTTGGTGTTAAGGCTGTGAAACTGTCATCTTTTCCATCTTCGTATACCAATGGTCGGCTGTTCAGAGCGGCTTCTATTCCAATGAGGGCCGTGGACAGACCTTCCTCGTCAAGAAGTGCTCGTCCGAGTACCTTTCGTANAGGTCTCGCAAGCACCAGCTTTAGCCAAAGTGTCCGCAATCTCGTTTCCTTCAAGGTAAACGTAAGAAGGAATCCCCTGCAGATGAATCTGATGTGAAATGGAAAGTCGTTTTAACTTTTTGAGTATTGACACTCCAGCACTATCTCTCACGCTTTGCTAATTGGTAAAGTGCTGTATTGCATTTCTGCTATCAGACAGAATATATCTCGTTTCCACGGGGAAGAAACACACGAGAGTCAAGGGTTTCATCAATGGCTTTCTGCATACGTATGTTTAAGCTATTAGCTCTACTGAAAAACTATGCCTTACTAAACAAGGATGTAAAAGGCGCCTTTATAAAAAAGAGAGGTAGGGCATTTATACTTAAATGCATAATATCAGATGTACTGCTTAGATCTGCCGGATACATTCGTCACAAGTTTGAATATACATACTTGCCAACTTGTACCGTCGTTGAAGAAGATTTTACTAACTTTTGGTAAAACAACAAGTAAGTTCTACAAACAAAACTATTAAGACATCTATAAGCATAACTTGCCAACAAGTAGATCTTATCTACATATTTTTTTTCAATTATTGATTTGTCATGGTAATTTAAATTTTTTTTTAAAATTTTAAACTTCAATATTTAATAGGCCAAAACATTAATGTTGCTACCAGTAAGAAAGTTATTTCTCAACAGCCGTACAAGTTGGCAGCTATGCAACAATTAAGTTCGGAAAAATTTTCTAGTTGGCAGCTATCAGAGACAGTAGTGTTCAAATCCAGTTTTTACGACACCAAACCATATGCAGGGTTGCCAACTTTTTGTAAAACTTTATTCCAGTGGTAGCAACCTGCTACAGATTTTTAAGCTATGTTTAGAAAAAAATGCAAAACATGCATATTGATCAAAACATGCATATATATTTGATCAAATCCTTCCAATCAAATCAAGGCCTGACTTTCTATGACCAAAAAAGTAGGCAGCTATCAGAAATGTGCCATGGCAGTAAATTTAAAGAACTTTTACAAAACAAAACGGGACATATTAAAAATATTTGTTGCAAAATAACAGTTCTCGGAATATTTTGTCATTTGCTTGTTATTCACAAGTTTTAATAGATTATAGATTGATTGTTAAAATTCTTTTCAAATAGCAACTGAGCCATATTTTTCCCGCTACAGATTTTTTAACAATGTTCAGAAAAAAATGCAAAAATATAAAACATAAATTTTGCTACCACATTCAGTTAAAAAAGTTTTTCGGAATGTCCAGAAAAGTTGGCAGCTATCAGAGATGTGCCATGATAGCAAATTTCAGGTAATATGTAACAACTTTTACAATACAAAACGTCATTTGGTCGTAATTTGGCGTAATTAAGCGCAATTTGGGTCGAATGCACCAATACAGATTAAAATAGATGCAAATTTTATGGAAATGTTAAAAGAAACTTTTATGTCCTTCATAAAAATCCTTTAACCCCTTTGGGGACGGGTGATTCAGAAAAGCATTCGTACAAAATCAGAATCAGGATGTAATTAAATAAAAAACGGTGACTTAAATGTAGTCGTTTCTAATTTGACAGACTTACTTTGCTTTTACTTTAATTATTGTTAGTTTAATCATACATATA